TCTGAATATCTGGGCTTTCTATATATTAGCACCTAAAAAAGTGGATACTTCAAAATTGACCTGTCAATAAATTATCACACCCCAGGTTTCGAGGTTCTGTCTAGTGTGGGTTTGTTGTTTTTTTTTTTTTTTCTTTTTTCCTTGCTTTTTTAATTCTTCCCATTATGTTTTAATGCTCTGGATCCTGGTTACTGAATCAGCAGCTTGAGAGGCATATGTTACAGCTCACTGGCAGAACCAATTAAAAAAAGAAAGTAAAACCAACAAAAAAGCAAATGAATATAATTCCAAATCATTCAGTGCAACATACATTATACAAATCTTCATATTCCAGTTTAATTTCTAGCAATAATGTAACTATGGAAAAAACATTGTCCAATTCACAACCACTTTCAGAAAATGTCTATTGCTGAATTTCAGTCCACAGTGCCTTCTGTACAAATACTCTCATGGACTGTAAAAATCATATTCATAGCACAAACAAGTAAAATGTGCTTCTTAATCAAAGTACGTAGAATTACATTAATGGCCAATATTACCTTTTTATTACACTATGTTATAAAAGTACAAATTGATACAAAGTAAACTAATTTTGCAAATATGCTATTTTATTCAGACTCAACAGTCTATAATGTGTTATAAAAATCAACCTTTCATTGCACATTTCCACATAATATGATATTTATTGGTTTCCAGGAATCACTGCACCAAGTTTGTATTAATGCATGGTCAAAAAGCTGAGTTACTTAATATTCTGAATCGACTAGCCATCAATTCCTGTAACTTGATTTTACTACATAAAAATTTAGAAGTACATGGAATGAACGAGTCATCATTCAGGCATCTCACGTTCTGTGTCAAAGCCTGACAAAGATAACACAACTTGACAGCACTTCTTCTGCATAAAAAAGGCAGAAATACTTGCATATTACATCTGATTAGGTAAACTGTAAGGTGTCACATGACATAAAAATAGTAGTTCATATGGAGACTAATGTGATTGCTGGTTCACATTCAATTTCCATTTGTCTCAGAATACCAAATTATAATATATGTGATAAGAGCATGTTACATATTAACTTGCATAAACTGCAAGTGAAAACCAAAGAGAATTTGTATTCACCTTAAGTGAATATTAAGCACCTCTATATTTCTCCTCTAGTGGACTCACAGACTAGAAGATGTTTCAGCTGTTGAGAACTGCAAATCAGACCACATGAAAAAATCCAGTGTTTGGAATGTTTTCAGAATCCTCAGTATACAGTCTAAGAACACCAAAAGTTTGGGAAGCATTTACAAAGTATTATATTTAACTTTTTAAGGATAGGAGGCAACAGCAGTTTCTGCAGCAAGCTAACACATCAGTCAGAACTATCTATCTCACCTTGGTGTCATTCAGACCAGAATTACGACTGTGCTACATAAAAGCTGAGCAGGACTACAAGAGATGCTAATTAAAAACTTTGGAAACACACTGACAGCTCAGACACCGCCCCTAACTTGCTGTCTGTAGTATGAGCTTGTGCCAGGTGCTAAGAGCACTTGGTACTACATTGCTTTATTACCACTATGCTCAGGAGAGAACAGTTTCAAATGGTGGAAAATGAGCAGGTCTCTGCAGTATTATTAAAAAAAAAAATAAATCATTCTCTTAAATGTGTGCCTCCAAGCAGCATAATTGCATACTACACCACTGCATAGCAAAGGCAGCCACTCGAGCATGTAATGGCGTATACATTAACTGGATCAGTAAAGGACCTTCTTCCAAAGACCATGCTTTGTAATACTACTTTCAATTCTACCAAATAGTCCAGGAATGATCAGACAAGATGTTACATTGTCATAACAGATGATAAGCTTTCCATAAACACTAAAGACAGTGCACTTTTTTTTTTTTTTTCCAAGAGCACGACTTTCAAAGGCTGCTGGAAAATAAATCAGAGAAAAGTAGCTCAAGCGAAACCTTAACCTTTTTTAACCAAATGGAGTAGGCAGATGAGTGAGCCTATACTACATTTTTGCAGCAAAAGAACTTGTTCCATACCTATATTCTAATTAATTTCTTAAATTAAGCCCTTGCATTACTCCCAATCTTTGAAGTTCATAAGAGAATGTGTGCAGTAATCTGTGCAACATTTATAATAACTATTAAACTAATACTAGGTTATAATACATCACTTGTACTACACATTTATACCCTGTGGGTTTACTTAACACTGATCAAGAGACTCCTGTCCACTTTTTCTGAAAACTATACTCTTGTTTATAATAATCTATGTTGAGAGATTAAACAGACTAAACACAAATAAACAATATTCTGATAACAAATATTTTGGGAAATTCCATAAACAGTGGCCAAATTCTGCTGACCTCACTCATGTGGAATAGTACCCTGATGAGCAGTCATGGTAAAGTCAACCCTTCTGAAAGAAGCAAACCAAGTCAGTACACTTGAGGAGAAACATAATCTTTCAGTAAATCTAAACCTGCAGGAGTACATATTCTCCAGTTATGATGTGTATGAGCAATTACAGAAATAACCAGCAGCAATGGGATTAAAATTAGGGAAAAAAAAAAAAAAGGCTTGATAGCACCACTGTTTTAATAAACATACAGTCTAATTTAGATATTCTTCAATTCATTATTCTAGGTACTTACTAGGTTCAAGACTGCATGTTTAAGTACAGGATTGTGCACATGGTTTTTGCCCTTATCCGTAATCATTTAAACCACTGCAATACATAATGTTTACACAAGTAACGTTTGCATGTAGCCATCATGTAATGAAAGGTGTTGGATGGTGTGCACAAGGTCATAAAAAATTACATGCTTATATACTGCTTATATTATTCAGTAGGCAGGTAGTACCAACTCCAATTAAGTTTGTCTATCATTTCTTATACATCCAACTTCAAAAATTTTATTTCAAAACTGTTTATCACCTACTTACACTGATATTTTTGAGGGAATTTTCTGGTCCAGATATTAGTGAGAAAGAATACAGGAACAAATACTTTGCAGGCCTCAAGAAAATCTGCTTCTATTCAATCATAGAATCATAGAATAGTTAGGATTAGAAAGGACCTTAAGATCATCAAGTTCCAACCCCCTGCCATGGGTAGGGACACCTCCCACTAAACCATATCACCCAGGGCTTTGTCCAGCCTGGCCTTGAACACCACCAGGGATGGAGCATTCACAAGTTCCTTGGGCAACCCATTCCAGTGCCTCATCACCCTAACAGGAAAGAATTTCTTCCTTATATCCAATCTAAACTTCCCCTGTTTCAGTTCTAACCCGTTACCCCTTGTCCTGTCACTACAGTCCCTAATGAAGAGTCCATCCCCAGCATTCCTATAGCCCCCCTTCAGATACTGGAAGGCTGCTATGACGTCTCCATGCAGCCTTCTCTTCTCCAGACTGAACAGCTCCAACTTTCTCAAATTATAATTGTAAAACTGCTGTCTGCACATACGCAGAAGACACTTTACAGTTGAAGCCTCCTTGGTTTTTATGCATTTGGATCTCAGCAGGACTTTTGTGTCACTTTCAGCTCTTTATTATGGTCAGCTGTAATAGGAATATGAATCTAAACTTAAGAGAGGTAAGCTGAAAAACAGATGGGGAACAAAAAACATGGCTGAGATCACAGGAAGGAAAGAGGGGGAATTAAAGGGGAACTTAAGAGGTGGTAGTTAGTAAATTAGTGTGATGATTAAGTACTGATAAGAAACCAGAATGAAGACAGAAAACTAGTAGGAATGACCAAGAGAAAGGTGATGAGAAATAGGGAAAGTCATCATATCACATGAAATTGTGGGAGAAGTTGCATGCAGGGGTTAGGAGAAGATGGTGGCAAAGTCAGAAAAGACACTGTTGGTTAAAGCTACCAAAACTATCTGGGGTGATGAAATCCTATCCCTGCCTAAAATATTTTTTACCATTAATATAATCTGTGAAAGACAGTGATTAATTGTGTATTTTTGAGACATTTACTTCCCTTACTGGAGTCTCCATCCCAAGTCTTCCAGACTCAGAGCTCCAACAGAAAACATCTATGTTTTGAACATTTTAGTGCTGTATAAGACTAAGTGTTTTCAAAACTCAGGTCCCACGCATCTTAAGATGAGATTTGTTTCCTATCACTCACCTTTCTGTGACTGGCAGAATACTGCTGAAATGTTATAGAGGACTAAAGGGATAGAGCATGTTTCACACTATTCCTGTTTCCTGTTAGCAACCATAATCTGCGTCAGAGGTACGCATTTCTGAGTAACCCAGATAACAGCTTCTAATACAAGGCTTTTGAGGAAGCTCTTAACTGCTCCCTTGAAGATATAGGCCCAGACATAACTATGTTTATAATATTTAGTAGATTTTAAAATCAAAATGATCCATAAAATTATCTTGCCTTTCTGCATAACACAAACCATAGAACTGCATCGATCTCTCAAAGTTTGGTTAAAATAATACATAGCTACACATATGATAATGGACATTTTTCTTCCCTACAATTTCTAATCCATCTTTTATTCTTGATCACTCTTTCAATGTATATAGAAATCCTGTGGCTGGGAACAAGGGACCATACAAAAAGACCTCCAAAGATAAAGGCACTAGTCTCTACAAATTAAAAATAAAACCCATGACTTCCAGGACAAATCTTGTGTGAAATTTCCAGCAGTACTAGCTGTGAAATCCTGGAGACCTTGGCCAAGACATTTTATTGAATTAAGCAATGGTTATCTTTCGAATGTTTGCAATTAAATCAACTACAATAATTTAACAGCTAAGAAATATAGGTAGATATTTGGAGAAACCCAGGACACTACTGAAGAAGGAAACACTTTTCCTCTGTGGGGATGACAAAGCACTGGCACAGGTTGCCCAGAGAGGCTGTGGAATTGCCATTCTTGGAAGATAATCAAGTAATCTGAACATAGTCCCTCCTGGGCAGCTGTGTCTAGGTGACCCTGCTTGAGCAGAGAGGTTGGACTGGATGACCTCCAGAGGTCCCTTCTGTGATACCCAAGAGATCTAACTGTTCCCTGCCTACTGCTGCAGGGAGTGAGGTCAGCTCCACTGACTTCCTTTAAACCTCCAGACTGAAATACTTCCCTAAAAGTTAAGTGAAGCAGTGTAAAGTGTTTGCTGTTTTTTTCATGTAGTTAATATTGATGTCTACGTTTACTTAGAAGAATCATATCATAGCAAGCAAATGAGTGTTTGTACAATGTTTTGAAGATATAAAGTAGTGCATATTTGTGTGTTTGTGTATTTGCACAGATACCGTTTTTCTTGGATGATAAAAGCAATTCACTGCCTTTTTTAAGGTCAGTACTCAAAACCCAGCTCCCAGGTACCTATTATTCATCTGAGTTGATTGTACTTCAGCTTCTTTATTGACTCTTTAAAATATGCACTAATAAAATCTCATTAGCTCTTTATTATCAACTGTCTCAGCATACAAATATTGCAAGCTGCAGGGATTTTCTGGTCACCATGAGCATGACTCTAGATTACTTCACAATCGATGTATTTGTTACTCTGGCAGTTGATGTTTTGAAAAGGTAACAAACTTTTAGTATCATTCAGGTAATTGCAAACATACTTCTGCCTTTAAGGACACTCCATTTATTTCAATGTAAGAGGGGAATGAATTCAATCTGGGTAAGCTACTACGAGTTACTAACCTCTTCCTTCAGCTGATGTTCCACAGCTGGCTGGAGAACAGTTCTGTTAGAAACACACTGGTACTTAACACCTTAACTTACTACACATTCTTTGAGTCCAATAGGTAGGATTTAAAAATCCATGGAAGGACATTGCTTAGAAGTGCCTTTTCTGAAACTATAATGGTACAAATATGATCACTGAATATTCCCTTATACTTAAAATCTGAACATTTCAAATAAAAGGCTAGAGATCTAGAAGTGTGAGATGGCAGTGAAATCAATTGATTTACGTCTCTCAACGGCTTATCTGATTCATCTCACCAAAAAGAATATATGATTGTCTTTAGAATAGACAGGCATTTATAGCTGCAGTGCTTTTTGTGGTGAAGTACTTTTAAGTCTGCTATTTTAAAAGTGGTTATAGAAGGACACTAGTAAGAAAACAAAAAAAAAAAAAAGGCTTTAGTGAGGAATTACATGGTTAAGAAATCAATACATGAGGGATACTCTTCTTAGCAGATATCACAGATTTTGCATGAGTACACTGTGGTTACATCAGAGGTGATTTTGGTGGAATATACATACAAGACAGACAAAGCAGTTATTAGATTCACCTGGCAGAGTTAAAGGAAATGTTGATTTCTATTTTTGGCCTCTTAATGGCACCTGACTGTATCATTTAAGACCATAGATGCTGGAGATTTCGGCTTTATAGCAAGTCAGCACTCTAAAGAAAATATGTTACTAAATAAATTGTTTAGAAGAGAGGTCCATATTAGAAAATACAAGTCAAATATAGTGTGCACAGTACATCCTCCAATAATATCTCAAAGTAAACATATAGCTCCAATGTGGTTATTCCACCCATTTTAATATTCCAATAATAAAAAATAATGGTATCAGGGGGATGAAAAACATTATAGTAGCAGAAAAAAAGGTAAAATTCTCTCTGCAGTAAACAGAATTTGTATCATCATTAGCAAAAGAATAATCATATAATCTTGCTTATCAGACGCCAAGCAAAGATAGGAGATAATAATGTCTAAGTTCATGCAGTCATGCTGACTGATGTTGATGTATTCCCACCTCAGTTGTAGCCATTCAACCGGACAGTCCAGCCTCTGGTCAGACCCGGGACACTTTTGCCCATGTTATGATAATAACTTGCAAGAAATGTATCAACATCATAGCTAGATGTATCTAGTCACGGGTCATTGCTAATAGAGACCCATTTGTCAAGGATTCCTGGAAACAGAAACACAGATCTACAAACTTTCATTTCTTGCTATGTCAACATGCACTTTAAAGTCTTACACTAACTTGTGCTCCTTGAAATTTTCTGGAAAGCCATTTTATTTTTTACGTTAATAGAGATACTTTTTCTATTTGTATTGCAACTTGAAATGTTTCTGTAATGTTTCCATGGCAAACTGAATAACAATACATTTAATGCTTCCATCAAATAAATAATATTTCAATTCTAAGCATCTATATCAAATAAATTTTTGAGCACTAAACCCAGAATCATCTCAGATTGTAAAACTCTAAACCCAATAGGGCTTAACATTTTCAACTGTTTATATTATTTAGACCTGCAATTTTCAATTGTGTCTATTATTGCCTTACAGGTGAGGACACTGGACCTCCTGATCCTTTTCTTCAGAGATTACTTCATGCCAACAAGGTAATGGTGTGATTACAGACTTTGTACAGGGCTTCCACCAATGCAAAACAAATTTGAGTTTTAGCTCTGCAATATGATTCATCTGATTGAGCCTTCAGAGGTGAATTCCTGGTTCTACAGTAGGAAATGGATATATGATTGCCTTGTGCTTTTTTGACAACAGTCCAGATCCTATATGCCAGGCACTACTTACAGAATGATCCATGGAATAGTGGGTGGTGTGGCCAAGTGGTGGAATACCAGAAATGTTCCCATAAGTTTGAGGTCATGTTTTCATTTACTGCTCTCTGGAAATTTAAGGAGACCTTGAAGTAGGCTTTTTCAGTAATGTATAAGCTTATAAGGCCGGTAGCTTTGTAAAACTAGGCAGTTCTTTTATTTAACATAACGATACAAAGTATTTTTGTAATTACTGATTCAAACCTTTCAATAATTTGAAATTATAAAAAAAATTCTCTTGAAGAATTACTAGGGAAAACAAGTCTTTTTCATATAGAAATGGGATAATGAAAGTCTATCTGTACTCTCAGAATGGAGCTATTTATTGTTCCACAGGAGTAAAGATGTTGGATTACAGTGTTAAGGGTGTTCTGTACATTTCCTGATTAACCCCAGCACTGGATACCCAAGCAAATGTCACAGACTTCAACTACTTACTCTGAAAGGAGTAAGGCAGAAGATGAATGTGTTAAGGAAGTTAAGAAACACAAGAAGGCATAGAAATCTCACCTGGGTATACATCTGGGGTGTCGCAGAACCACGTCTTCAGCATATTGCAGGATGTGCTCAGTACTTTGCAAGATTGAGCTGTTACTCATAAAAAATAGATTTTACATATAAAAATACAGCAGATGACCCTCAAAAATCGTATCTTAAGTGTTATTCCACCTCATTGTTTTATACATTCAGAAACAGACATTTGAGATATACCATGAACAGTGCAAAAGACTGTTTTTTATTTATAAAAACACACATTGTGGTACCTGTAAGCGCCAACTGAAAGAAAAGCTGAGAAAGGTTTCATCCTCAGATAAATTCTGGTCCAAGCTGAACTTTTGTTTAGCAAGCTGTAAACAATTGTCTTAGAATGCAGAGAATTCTCTCATTTCTTTCCACCTAAGGTAGTCTCAAACACATCAAGTCCTGCTTTGAAGTAAACCTGAGCTGAATTGATGCTGTTCAGCACCTCTGACAAAGCTGCTTGAATGGTCTCATTTGACTGATGTAGTTTGCAGTGCTCCAGTGCCTCTAGCAGTACTGAAAACTGGCTTGTCCTTTCATCTAGTCTGTAAAGAATATTTCTAAAAGAGAAAAATGGAGAATGGTAAACTTTTTACTCAAAACAATTCATCAGAAACCATCAAGAAAACCTGCAAGTAGCAGCCGCACTTTACAGATGATACATGTTAAGCACAGTAAAGCTGACCCATAGCAAACTGAAAGACAATTGCATATTTATTACAGCCTTGTAAACTGAATCTGTTCATTGATCTAGGTGTATGTACATTGAAACATTCACTAAATCTGCCAAAAGAAATCTCACCATCTCACATTTCCCTTTGAGCATTCCAGATTTTATTCAAAATCATGAGCCCAGACCTACCATACCCCTCATGAAGTATTTCATGTTTCGGTTGGATTCCACTTATTCCCCTCTAAAATAGGTTTGGTTATTCCTGTGGACCCCAGACACAGATTTCTTCCCCTCCTCCCGCTCCACTCCCCCCCAGTCTGCTCCTGTTATTTATTTCACACTTCAGAGGTGAAATACTAGCTGTAGTCAAGTCAATGGTAAAACTCTCACTGCTTTCAGCAGAGACTTTTTTTCCATTAATAATCCTTGGTGACATTAGAACAAGAGCAACCCATCTTTAATGCTGAATACCTGAGGAAGGAAATAAATGGAAAGTATAGTTAAATCCCAACGAAATGAAATCTATGTCTTCCTATAATATCTGCAAGACTTTTCATGGCTCGTAAAAAATCACATGCAAAGGTAACATGTGAGCCCTTGGAAATGTTACCTATATGAGGTGTTGCAGGTTCAAAATTAAAAGCTAGTCAGTGATTTCAATGAGATTCTTTGAAGCAGGCTCTAAAACCAGTTGTAAACATTATCCTAATTAGAAGAGAAGGTAAGTATCATAAATCTCCACCCAGGAACTCCTTTGATTGTAAACAGAAGTAAGAAATTTGAAACAGGAGAGTTACATATGATTTGGTGCAGGAGCTCATCCTTAAATACAAGGCAGGTGTTCAGGGCAGAGGAGAAGTTATTTCACAGAATGAAACCAGCAGGACAGCAGAACATGGATACTCTGTTAGTAATCTAATTGCATGACAGAACAGGCCCAATGGCAACTCCAAATTAGTAATAAAACTGCCAAGTACCTACAAGACAGATTACTACAAAAGTGTATCTTATTATTATATGAATCACCTAATTGCCAGTCTACAAGGGGGAATGGTAACAACGCAGCCCAGCAAGTGACACCACAGAATACCTACAATCTTCTGTCATTTTTTTCCAGTTTGAAAAAATGCTTCAAATGAGGGGAAATGTTTTTCAAAGATGAAATAACTCTTACAACAATTTTTCTGTTCTTATGCTTTTATCTACCTATACTGGGTATACATCCAAAACCAGTGATGTGCAATAGGAATGGTAAATTTTACAGCCTGACAGCATTATATATAGCCATTTCAAGTGGTCTGCAATACAATACATAACAGTTTTAAACAGATGAAAACAGAATCCAACACTGTAATAGGATAGCTTACATAGAGAATCGTCACTGACCTTATCATTTGGACTGAAACAGGTTAGGAGCACTTGCAGAAAGAGCTCAGTGGGGACAGAAACCTCCATCAAGAGGACAGTAATAAACAGATGTGGCAATAACTTCTTCATCTCACGCTGCAGCAGTAAGAGGACAACTGCCTGCTTCCTCAGCTCTGAGCTTCTACTATTCCTTGAGACTATAACACAGTACACTCAAAGGTGACTCAAGTTATATCACTGACTGTCCCTAAAGCATCTCTGTGATGCATTAAATGAAACTGTGTGTGTTGAGAACCAGATAAATTCCTGGTTGGTTGTTTTTAAGGCCAGGCTGTACTATGGGAAATACTGTAGTTTTCAAAGCAGAGGATTGATTTTGCTCCCTCTGAAATCAATTTAGGGACTCCTGCTGAGATCACTGCTAACAGAACCATGCTTTTGAAGAACTCTCTTCTAGAGTTCCTACAGTTTACAGGGAGACAGAAGCCTGTTCACAACCCCTCAAACTCCTTGAATAGCAGGGGCAATGCTAGAGATAATCACTTCCCCACTCTCAGGAGGCATGCGACAGTCCTATCTGTTTGCTGGTAGCTGGGAGAGTTTGACTAGGCTAGAATTCTGATAGAATTCTGAAGGGTCAAAATGGGAATGCTCCAAAAGCCTATAAGACTGGCATCTTGATCTGTAATGGGATCCCTCTATTCCTGTATTCAGGGCAATGTCAACTAAGAAAAATGTCATAAGACAGTAATCATCAGCAGAGCAATGCTAACTTCGACTGCTAGAAAACAGACTGTAAAGAGAGGATGACGTGAAGACTGGGGGAGTTTGGGGATTACTGAGAAAATGTTTTTGGTGAATGGAAACAGATTTTCTCCTATTCCAACCTCCAAATGTGCTCCTAATAAGGACACAGGCTAAAAAGAGGGTTTACCTTGACATACAAGGATGTTAATACAGTTTAAACCTACTGCTGTGATTTTGGAATAACAGGTGAATCACAGTAAAACCACAGGCAGGTGATCCACAGTAAAGGACAGGTATTCCTAGCCCAGCACACCTGACTACAGTACAAATCAGTGTCTAATGAGAAAAGCTTCACTGTTTGATAAATGAAAGACAAGCATTCTGCTATCATAACTTAAAAAAAGATTGTAACTTCTGCAATAGTAATGTGAGTTTGGCATAGCTGATTGCATAGTATGACAGAACCTACGTTTTATTTTTATGGATGCAAATAATAAGAAACATTATATGGCACCTGTTTTTCCAGATTTGCTGTTAGGAATTCTCACCAGGGTCTTAAATTTTCCAATTACTTCTCTTTGCTTGGCAAGCCACGCTGCCCCTTTGTTGCATAAAATGATTTCTCTCTTTATGCATGTTCATAAGAGTTAATTTATACGACAACTTATTTCTGTCCAAGCTTCATCAGATGAAATGGTTAACCTAGTTCATGACTTTCAAACCTTTACAATTCAAGAAGTGTTTTCGTTAAAGATTACACATAAACTGAAAAATAAAACCCAGCTATTCTACTGGCACAAGATATCACTATGTGACCACAATACGCATAATGATACCAAGAGACTTTAATTTATACTGTGAAACTCAATTACTTGAACATTCCTTAATACAAATTGGTTTTGTAGCCTACATCACTAGAACAACAATTACAGCCTCTGGCCTAACTGCTTCAGTATCTATCTTCATTTTTAATTATTTTGATCTTAAAAATACATTTTGCACAGTTTGCCTGACCCACACAAACTGAAAAGGGACGCCTAAACCAAAAAGTGCAATGCATTGACGATACTAATAAAATTACAACCCCCATCATTCATCTTAATGGTTTTGTTTCAATGGCACATCACAGTGACCTGAAAAGTGTAAAACTGAAGTAAGAACCTAATTAATAACCTCAGGCACTACCACTGAAAGATGCAAAATGGCTCCAAAGAAAAAAATCAGCCATAGCAAACTAAAGCAAATAAACTATAAAAATGAATTGCAAAAGAACTTCTGTAATTTTTAAGAGCCCTCTGCAGGCCTAGGAAAATAAGCATTACTTACCAAAATAATGCCAGAGAGTTAAATGATGTTTTACACTATCACAAATAAGGATGCAACTTCAGCCCCACCATACCAAAATGAATTTGACAAATTCTTGAATGCCAGATCACCCTAAAAATATATTCCCTTCAACACAACTTCAAACTGTTTTGTTGCTTATAACAACTAAACAGTTCAAGATAAAACTGGATTATTACATTATTCCTGCCACGAAAAATGATATTTTAGCTTACAAGAAAAGTTATGTACAACACAAGCTGAATTATTCAGGTACTTACAAACAGCCTCCTATTTAAGAGATTTTGAAAAGTAACTATTAAATCATTAGGACACGACGGCAAGTATGGAATCCCACATGAAATGAGTGTAGCTTTTTTCTGTGGAATCGCATTAGAATTGCTTACAGATAAATGCTTTGGGCAGCCTCTGTCTTTTCCAGTTATAACTCAATATGCTGTGACCAGAGATGCTTCAGCATCCTCACAAATTCAGTTTTATAAATTCTTCCAAGAATAAAAGCACATCAGAACAGGGATTCTCTGTATTTCCATTTCTCTTGGTAATGTTAATTTTTGAATGCACTTCTCTTACATGTAGTAAGTTGTGGGGGTTTTTAATTCATGTTTGCAAACACATAAAATATTATTAATTTGGTAAATAAACAAGTCAATGCATCCTAGTAACGACACTTCATGTTGGGACTTCCAGTTCCACAGGGTGTTTATTTATTGTGGGACATAAAAATATTACAAATCCTTCTTTCCTGGAAACTGCATGAGCTGATTTATATTAGTTTTTTTACACTGGTTTGTACCTCAGAAAACTTCATGGTGAAGGTACTGAAAGCCACCGTTCTTCCTCTGGGTCCCCTATCCTTCTGATCTCCAACAGAGCTTCTCATTTCCTCTTTTAAAACTTTTTTGACACCTACATACCTATTTTATTTCACAGCACTATCGCATCAGGTTTATAACTATAAAATTATTGCTGGTGGTCATGTAAGACCAACTTTTACCAGGACAAAATTCATGCACTGGTGAACTGTTATTACATGTTATTGTAACTCATTCAGGCCAAGAACCCTTTTCTACGATGCTCATTTCCTGCTGGATAGAACAGTGGAAGTCACTGGCTCTCGGGCCGTGTGACTGAACATGCAGGGAAGATGGGGATACAGAAGACAACCTTTTAGGGCAACTCATCTGTAAACATCACTTCATTCCTTCACTGTGCTAAACATCCTACACTTTTTGAAGAATCATCAACTGCCTTCACTTAGTGCTCTCATTTATAATTCTGCAAATTGTTCTACTGGTACTGATTACAGAAAATGATATATTTAAACCATGTACACTCAAAGGTGTCTGCCAAAAATATATGTATTTGCATGTTATCAGCAGTTGATAGGCTACAGGTAATCTGGGTATCAAACCCAAAGAAAGTCTA